TCTTCAACACTTCAGAAGTTTTAACTGTTTCGGACTCGATGGTTTTCTGGAAGACACCCACAAAAACACAATTTCACACTAGAGAAATGGCATGTTTGGCTATTTCAGAATCACATTAGACATAAAATCGTACATATTTCCTCCTGGCTTGCTTGAGGGCTTCCGATTCCTCTAGTTTTTTGGCCTCCTCGCGAAACTTCTTGATGTTCTCATTCATCTCCTTGCTCTTGGTCAGTTCCTGCTTGAGATTGTCCAGAAACTCTCCAAGGAAGCCTTTCCGACCGCCACCGGAGGACATAAACCTTGCCTGCAGATGACATACATGTAAAAAAAAAAATGCTGTAAAATCACAATCTCCCCCAAAAAACGAATGATGTGCGACACTCACCTGCGCCGTAGCAGCCGCCGGGCCACATATCCTGTACACATGAGCTCTGTCGTATAATGACGCATACTGACGAGCGACTAAAAGTGCAGAATTTCTCCTGACACACAGCTGAGGAGAAAAACATGCATAATAATACAGTATTTCCATAATTATGAATGGAAAAACACCATCTAATGACAGTTTTGCCACAGATAAACATGCTCAGGTACTGGTGTCACTGTCAAACAAAATTTTATACATAAATTACTTATATAATCATAAACCTCAGATGCTTCTCCAAGAGATACCATGGTATTTCCATGGTACACGTCCAAAAAGCATGGTAAAACCATGGTACTTTATGGTTAAGAGGTCTAAACACAATCAATTCCTGTCTTTTTGTGATATGTGCATACGTAATGTGATTTAAAAGCTTCGTTTATTATGTTATTATAATATTTAATGTTACATCAAGGCCAGAATCATGTTTCATAAGCATGACTGATCAATCTATTCACATTTCTGCATTAAAAACGCGCGGTTCTGGTGAACCAAGAGCGCGCTCGTGCTGCTTTAATCGCGGACTTTGTGTTTTATCATACCGATATCAATCGCGTTGTTAATGAGCGCTTAATAAACGGTTTAAATGAGAAACTCACCTGGTAACACTGACACAAGGAGGCCGCCATCTTGGAAGCGCTGCGAGTGACCAGTTTGGCTGGTGACCTTGCGACGCAATTCCGGGGGAGGAGCGACGTCTTTGGGCAGCCAATGAACAGACTCCTATTCTCTGACGTCTCACTAAGTATGCTTTTAAAATACACACACACACACACACACACACACACACACGTCT